TTGAATATTTACATTCTTATATAAAATTTATCGATGTCAAACACTCAATCCAACGATTCATTAAAGGAATTAAATGCCAAGCTCTTAGTTGAGATTGCCGAGCTTAGGAAAGAGAATGCTGAGATCCCTGAACTTAAAAGGAAGTTTGCTGAGGTTGAGGCTGAGAGAGCTGAGCTTCTGAGACAGGCTGTGGAAGAGAGTAAAAGACGTGATGCTGAGAATGCTGAACTCAAGACCAGAATCGAGGAGTTGGAAAAAAATAAGGCAGATTCTTCAGCTGAGAATGTTAGGCGTAAAGTTGAGATTACTGAGATTAAGGCTGAAATAGTAAAACTAAGGGACAATAATGAAGAGAACAAAGAGTTAACCTTCCTTCAAACAGATAATATTTCTAAGAAAATAGTTTCAGGAAATGGGCAGAACAATAATACTATAGATTCGAACACTAGCACAATGAATTCAAATACTAGCGAAGCATCTTTTGGTAATATTCAAGTATCCGATTCTGTAATAGACCAGCTAAATAATGAAGTAGGACAAGCAGTTACCTCTGGTGATGCACCTAGTAATAATGCTAACACCAAATCATTAGAAGATAAGGAAACTGATGATTTCTTAGATGAGAAACATAAGAAAAAGATAAGTGATGAGATTAGACAAAACAATAAGGAGAAGAAAAATCAACGTGAGTCAACTGTTCCTTCTAACTTATCGCTTGTTACAGAAACTTCTCTAAGAAATAATGAAATCGAAAGTAATACAAAAACCGTTTCCTCAGAAAACGATCAGCAAAAAACTATTCCAAGACTGAAACTTAAGTTTACCACTGACGATTCCGATGAGATTGAGCTTACTAAAAATCAGAATATAGAACTTGATCTAATATGTGATTTACAGAATTGTAGTATCGTTACTCCACCTAATGAACAGCATTTGACTATAAAATCTTCTGAAGTGTCTTGCAACCAAGTCACAACACAAAATTTAATCCATTTATTTAGGAATACAGTACGGGTTGGACATGAGGAGATTTTATCCTGGATTTGTTATTCAGATAATTTTGAAGATAAAGTTGCTGAGGTTTGTCATGATACAGGAGTT